AGGCCGGGCCCTGCCCGCGCTGGGGCGGCGCTGCCCAAGACGCCGAGCCGCGTCGCGGCCACGCGGATCAAAACGGAAAGTTCGCGCCGCCGAAGTCCGACAGTGCCTAAAAGTCACACCTGTGAATGCACTGTGCCCCGCGAGCCACAGAAACGTTGACGCCGGTCACCGGAACTCTGGTCCTACACCCCAAAACTGGAAAGAACCGCAGATGCCCATCAGCCACAGAAGGGTTAAAGCCGTGCAGCGTCACGCGACGTGAGGGACGGGGTGCACGCGGAGTGAGGACCGACGCCGCACGGACAGATGCATCTCACAACACTTTCTGTGGATACAGTGTCCAAAAACCAAAATCAGCATCATTGTAATAAAGTCCAAAAATGGCAAAACTGAGCTGAGACAGTCCGGACAGTCACCTAGCGGGGAGGGGGAGCAGCTGGCTCTGTTCTGCACTTGAGCGAGATATTGAACCACAGGTGAATTCACTAGCACGCAGAGCTGGAGACCCCCTTTAGTTATTTATGTATTCATTTTTATTTATTTTTTATTTTTGAGACAGGGTCCTGTTCTGTACCCCAGGCTGGCCTCAAACTCACTGAGGTCCTCCTGTCTCATCCTCCCCAGTGCTGGGATTATAACTATGCCCCACCACACCTGGCTTGAGGCCTTTTATTTTTAAAAAATTAGAAATAGCATTAAAACATTTGATTATATAATATGCAAAAATGTGTAAATCAGTGTGCATAACTTTACATGTACATATGATCAAATGTTCATTTAGGTATTATGGTCCTATAAATTCATGAGTGAACCTACCAGGAAAGACTTTTTTTTTTTTTGGCAGTACTAGGGATTGAACTCAAGGTCCTCGCACTAAGCTATTTCCCAAGCCCTCTTTTAAATTTTTTAATTTTGAGTCAGGGTCTCGCTAAATTACCCAGATTGAGCTTGAACTTTCAATCCTTTCTGGTCAGCTTCCCGGAGTCCTGAGATAACAGGTTGCAGCACCAGGCCTAGCTCCTGGGGACGGCTTTCCAAACCTGTCACCACCACCATGCCTCCTGCAGGCTGGGAAGGGCGCGGATTTTATCCACCTCTATTACTTCATTAGCAAGCCTGCAGCACTGTCAACTCTGAGAGAGCAGATTTTGAAGATTTGGAGAGCTGGAGACATGTCTCCAGGGCAGAGCCGTTGCCTAGCATGTCAAGGCTCTGGGTTCAGGCTCCAGACCACAAAAAGGAAAAAAAAAAAAAACCCAGAAAGATAGTAGAGTGAGCCAGACAGGGTGGCACATACCTATAATTCCAGCTGCTTGGGAAAGTTTCAGGCCAGCCTGGTCAGCTTAGCAAGACACTTGACTCAGAAAACTTTTAGAAAGGGTCAGGGATAGAGACCTTGCCTGTGTTGCAGGGTACGAGGTTAATCCCCAGAACCACAGAAAATGTTTTTAAAGGTAGAACTGAGACTCAAGGACACTAGGTTAACTTACTCCTGGAAAGTTGGTGGTGGTGGTTTTGTTTTCTGGGTTTTTTGGGGGTTTTGGGGGGTCTTTTTGAGACAGGGTCTTGCTGTGCAGTTCAGCCTGGCCTTGAGCTCACTTTGTAGCCCAGGCTGGAGTCGAACTCCCAACAATCCTCCTGCCTCAACCTCTGGAGTGCTGGGATTACAGGCATGCGCCACCACGCCCGGCACTCCTGGATAGTTTAAAAATCCACGTGTAACGGGGGCTCCTACCTCCCAGCCAGGACTCTGCTCTCCTCGTATCTTGCTAGCTGGGAACCAGGGACCCAGGATGGAGGTGCTGGGGGCCAGGCATCCCCAGAATTCAGAGCCAAGTGGGTATCACAGGGATTCAGGGCCCCTGAAGGCAGTGGCACTGGATGCCACCCTAGAGCCAAGCCAGGCACCCAGGAGGTCTCAGAACACGGGTGCCACAGAGCCCCTGGAGGGACGGGGCAGGTCTGGTCTCCAGTCCTGGCAGAAAGTGGTAAAGCCTAGGGCTGTGAGAACCACATGGCTTTTTATTCACATGGGGCCGGCCAGGAAAGGATCAAAGTCACTCTGAGAACTCAAGAGTCACCCTGGGGCTCTGTGGTTTGGGAACAGCCGGGTCAGCTTGGAGGCTGCAGTGTGTCATTGTTTCCATTACATACTTCCTGGGTCCCCGCTTGGCTGGGAGCTCAGAGCAGATTCCTCCGTCTGGGAGGCCCGAGAGGTAGGGCCTGGGAGAGCTTCCCAGGAACCAGGCGGGGTGGGCGGGAGAGCAGATTCCAAGCCTCCTGCTTCAGGACTTTCTTATCTGTTAACCTGTGCACAGAGCGCCCTTTCTCCCTGACACTGCCTACAAGGATGTCGGCTGAAGCAGATCTTTGTTGTAAATATGTAAAACAAGTGTCAGGCTGGGGATTTAGCTCAGCGGCACAGCGCCTGCCTGGCAAGCATGAGGTCATGAGTTCAATTCCCAGTACCGGAAAAAAAAAGAAAACAAAACACAAAAAAACGAGTGTCTAGGAGGAGCTGCTGGGAGGCCGTGGGGTTCTGTTAGCAGTGCCTTGTGTATGAAGGCTGGGCTTTCAGTCTAGGTCAACTTCTCTGGGAGGTCCAGGGGCAAGCGGCAGTGTGCAGGAGCCATACCCAGGGAGGGTTGGGCACCTGCTCTGGTCTCCCCACAAACATGGACTTGAGAACAAGGTCAGAGCATGGTGTGCTGGCCTGGAGAGGTGTGGGTGGGTCTGTGCTGATGTCCGGAAGCACTGGAGCAAGTCCTCTCTGCCCAGCTGTCCGAGCCCCAGCACTGGACAAGTGCTGCACTCTTGTTTACCCATTTTGAGGTGGGTCAAGGACAGGATGCTTATGAGTTAGTGTATATTGATTTTCCACCGTCACGGCCATTGGCAAGGTGGGCCCAGCCACTGCTGGCTGTGGGATCCAGATGAGCTCTGAGCTTCAGTTTTCTGGTCTGTGAAATGGGAATAAAACTGCTTCTTGGCTTTTTGGCTAAGATCAAGTTGTAATGGGAGTAAAAGCTCTCCTTTTTGGAGCAGACAGGAGGTTTAAATAGAATACGCCAAGCGCCCATCCTGGAGGCTCTCAGGACATAGCTCTTCCTGGAGTTGTTTAGGTGACACTGGGTGGGCCGGGGATGTAGCTCAGTGGCCTAAGCACTTGCCTGACAAGGCTAAGGTCATGAGTTTGATTCCCAGTATCAAAAAAAAAAAAAAAGACACTGGGTAACTGGGAACTGGAAAGCACCCACGAGGACCTTAGCAAGACATTTTAATCCGAAGCACAGAAGGCTGGGGGTTTAGCTCAGCAGCACAGCACCTGCCTGGCAAGCGCAAGGTCGTGAGTTCCATTCCCGGTACCAGAAAAGAAACAAAAAAATCCGAAGCACACACTTGTCACCTGCTGTCTTCACCTCCGGTGACAGAACAGGGCTGTGTGTGTGCATGTGACACTGGGGATTGAACCGTGGTGCTCCACCACCCACCTACAGCCCTAGCCCTTTTTATATCTTAGTTTGAGACAGGGTCTCCTTAAATTGCCCAAGCTGGGTTCAAACTTGTGATCTTCCTGCCTCAGCTTCCCAGAGTGGCAGAATTAGACTCTCCCCTTGCCCAACTCTTTTTACAAGGAGAGAGCATCACGCCAGCACTTTCCAGACAGACACAGCCTCCAGCCACCTACCTCATCTGGAAACGTCCACTGCCTGCCTATCCCTGGTCTCCCCACCGCCCCCAGACACTATCCCATGGGCTCAGGGTTTCTCCCGGGGCTTCCCAGCCTCAACCCCCGAACGCCCCCTCCAGAGCATCCTCTGCATGCTGTCCACTTCACTCTTCGTCACCCCTCACTCACTGGAGCCACTGGCAGGAGCCACCCGCCCCTCCCCTTGGCCAGCAGCCTGGGGCTATATATAGCAGCTGCGTGCCCCCAGTCCAGGCCTGGCCCTGCCCCTCCCCCAGCACTGCCTTCCCCAGCCAAGGCAAGGTGTGCAGGGGTTTGGGATCGCAGAGTACCACTGCCGTGACCTCTCCGGCCAGCTGTTCCCCTCCTTAACCCTTTCCATAACCCTATGTATGGGTGAATGCCAGGAAGGGCAGACTCCACGAGACCTGCTCTAGTAAGTTGTCTGTAGCCAAGCCCCACTCTGGCCCAGGCTGGCCTTCAACTCATTTTCCTCAAGCTCCACATGCAGGCATGCAGCCCCAGGCCTGCGCTAGGAGCCCTAAGACCCTGGTCTCTAGCCAGAACACTAAATCTGTCCACATGGTTCGTCTTGACCCCTCTAAATCAGCATTTCTATTACTATAACCTGCTTTGGAAGGGAAGGTTTACTGAGCAAGTTACTAATACAGAAATGTTTACATGGAAGCGATTATTAAAGGCTTGGAATGTTAGCAAAAGTGATGCCATCATAATTTTATCTTATGTTTACTAAAACAAGGCTCTCCAGAAATGTGTTCCTTGAAGTTTTGGTTACTGTGCGTCTCCCCCTCAACTCTCCACACGGAGCTGTCCCAGCAGCCCCGACGTTCAGGGGGACGGATGGACAGCAGTTACGGACTCCCCTCCACTGGGCTGCACACTGGATTCCGGCTGCAGCAGAGGGGTCAAGAACACCCTAGCCTCTCCCTCCCCGCGCCTCCGACCTCAAAGGCTCCATAAAGCTCTGTCACTTCCCCCTGACCCCACAGCAGCAGCTGCACCACCAGCCAGTGGCCGACGCGGACAGCACAGCTGAGCAGGCCTCGCTGCCTGCGCTCCTCCTGGCCAGTGCCTGGGTAAACGCCGTGGGCTGGGACCTGTGGGGGGCCCAGGGCCGCGGTCACTGCTCCCTAGGCCGGGGCAGGGATGGGTAGGAAGCTGGCAGCAGTGAGGGGACCTGGTTGGCAGGACCCCATTCTGCAGTTGGGGCCAACATGCGGGTGGCTGGCAGGTTACAGCCCTGGGGTGGAAACCCCAGGGTTGGGAGGAGCCTGGGGCTGAGCCTGTCCTTTGGTACCAAGGCGCAGGATGCAGACTGTCTTTCCCTGACCCATGCGTATCACTGACATCTGCCCTGGGCTGGGTAAGCAGTGCTGGAGCTGCAAGCTATGGCCCTGAAGCCACTCAGGAGCGACTGTCGCAGACTGAGACAGCGGGGCCCCTGGACTCAAGCACTGCCCCTCTGTGGACTTTTCCAGTTGTTTGGCTTGGCCTCAGGACTGCACCATTGGGACGTGGGGAGCAGGGCAGTAGGGGGAGAGGCAGACGTCGGAGGGGAACGTGGCCCAGGTGCCACTGAGGAACGGGACATCATCCGGGTAGAGCTGTGCCAGGTGTGGTGAGAGGGCCCCAGCAGGTAGCAGAGTTCCAACTGCGCCTTCCAGGGCAGGGCTGGTGGCCAGGATGTCTGCTGACAAAGGCCAGTGGACACCACCCAAGGGCGAGGACACTGTGCCCGAGAAGCTGCTAAGGAAGAGCAGGGAATCACCACTGGTGCCTGCAGGTGAGTGGGGAGGACGGGGTGGGGGTCAGAGGTCAGGTGGCTCCGCCCACTGCACCGGGCCCAGCCTCACAATGACGGACATGGTCACTGGGTGAAGGTGGCAGCTAACGGAGTACAGGGCACCAACACCGGCCTCAGGACGGACAGTGCGCAGGGCCAGGCGGAGAAGCGGCCTGCTGCAGGGTTGGGGTGCAGGCATGGTGACCCCGTTCTGCCCATGGAAGGGGCCCCGTGAGAAACTAGAGCTGTGACAGCCCCATGGGGGACACTCAATCCAGCGACCCCAGCTCCCATCGGGACTCTGGTGTGGGGCCTGAGGTCAGGTCACTCTCTGCTCACAGGCCTGGCAGCCTGCCTGGCGGTGGCCGTGTACAGGATCCACCGGCTGAGGGCTTGCGGCCCCACCAAGCTGTCCGTACACCTGATCCACACGCGCGTGGCTGCGCAGGCGTGTGTCGTGGGCGCCATTCTGCTAGGTAAGCACTGGCTGGGGGCACGGGAGGACCCTGCAGCCAGAGGCTGGCGACCCAGGGCCACGTGGGTCCTAAGACTCCTTGGGAATCCACCTCATGTGCTTGCTGAGCAACCTGCCCGGGAAGTGAGGTCATGCAGCAGGACGCATGCTGATCTCTCGTCTTCTCTGGATCTGAGAGCAGTAGCCTAAGGAGGCTGAGGCCAGAGGACTTTGAGTTAGCTGAAGCCCTTCCTGCTTTTAAAAAAGACAAGATACTTGCTAGCTGTGAGTGGACCAGTCATGCTCACTGCCTCAGTTTCCCCAAGCACATGATGACAGCACCCCCCGACCTGGCCCCGCCTTCACGGGCTGCTGAGTGCTGGTACAAGTGCCCTGGAAGCTGTTGGGTGGTCGCCAGCCACAAACTGGGTGCCTGGAGCAGCTGTGGGCCCTGGGGCGGAAGAGGAGCGGGAGGTGTGGCTCCCAAGGGGACACACTGTGGGGACCCTGGGAACAGGGACCGGTGCCAGCGGCATTCCTCCTCCTCCGCCCTGTGCAGGCACCGTGTACTCGAGGTACAGGGACTACGGCAGGAGGACGGCACAGGACGCCGGCAGCAAGCAGGGTCCCACGAGTGCCCAATAAAGCAGAGCCTGAAAGCCAAGTGTCATCTGTGCGCGGAGGGGAGGGTGGGGGACGTGAGGCTGGGCAGCCTCAGGGAGGACAGAGCCCCTCCTGCCCGCTGCTCCCCGGGGACGGGGCCAGAACAGGCCGCAGCTGGGAGCGGCAGTGGCCTCATGGGAGAGCACGTCTACCCAGAACTCTGCTGAGGCCCGGACGCCAGCCAGAGAAAAGCACAGGGAGGGCAAAGGCCACAGTGTTCTCTTCATTCACAAACCGGGGCCACAACACAGGGGGGTGGGTGAGAAAAGGAGTCTGTGCAAGTCCCAAAGACAGGGGCTTCCAGGGCTGTCCAGGAGGAGCAGGCGGGGTCCTCGGAGGGCATGGGCCGCCCGCCTACTGGCTCCCAGGCTCACATCGGATAGTTGAGCACCACATCCTGCTTGGCCAGCTCTAGCAGCATAGGGTCATCGAAGAACTTGCTGATGCTCACGTCCTCACTCAGGCCCTGCAGAGAGGACAGAGCAGGCGCTCCAGCACTGTGCGGGGAGGAGGCCCGCAACCCCCGGCCCGGTGCTGGCTGCGAGAGGACAGGGACTGCACCTTTCCACCCACTGCATAAATTATGCTGTTTATGGCACAGGAAGAAGCCCGGGGTGGGGGATACAGCTCAGCAGTGCAGCGCCTGCCTGACAAGTGCGGGGTTCTGAGTTCAATTCCAAGGAAGAGTCCAGGAAGAGCTTAGGAAGCTGGGGTGAAGGGCAGCAGCTGGGGGACACGCACCTTCCTGCGCCGGGTCTTGATCATGAACTCTCGGGCCAGGTGCGGAGCTGGCTGCGGCTCCAAGGGCCGGATGACAATGCTCTTGTCCAGGGGGTCGCCGGGCACGATCTAGAAGGCACAGGGCCTCAGCTGGCACGGGGCCTCGGCAGGACACTTCCCCAGGACGCCTCCCCAGCAGGACGCCCAGAGGAGCAGCTCAGAGGGGACTCCCCAGCCCAGAGGCCAGTGCCGGTCATGAGCTCTCACCTGCCAGTGGTGGAAGACAGACAGAGAGAAGGCCTGGCCCTGTGTGTGGGTGCGGAGGTCAGTCTCAAAGCCGAAGGAGTCAATGGCCGGGATGAAGGCTTTGATGGTGTAGAGGGGGGAGCCCGGAATAGGTGCGTCCTGAGTCACGTGCCCCCTGGGACAGACAGAAAAGGGTAGGTCCCAGGCCAGTGTGGTGGTGCATACCTGTGATCCTAATGCTCCAGGAGGCGCTCTGGGAGGCTGAGGCGGGAGGATCCTGAGTTTGAGCACAGCCTGGGCAACCTAGCAAGATCCTCTCTCAAGGTAAACTATAAAAAGGTCTAAGGATGTGCCTGTGAAGGGCCTGGGTTTGCTTCCTAGTTCTGCAGCACCGAGGCTGCTAATGCAGACGCAGAAAGCCAGGTGTGGGCTGGGTTCTGCTGTTCCCAAATGCGCCGCAGCCCCGAGTCACCAGCAAGGGAGGAGCAATGAGACTGCAGAGCGCAGACAGGCTCGGGCTCCCGGGGGCCACCTCTGGGCACAGGGCGCCATCCTATCGACATCCCCACCACCTCCCTGCTTAAGCTGGGGGGCGCCTCAGGCTTCGGTGTGGTCAGGGAGCCCAGGCCCCTCCGCCCCAGCCTTACCGTGCCCCTGGCTGCTCACCTGCGCCGGGCCAGCACGGTGTACACGGCCGACACGCAATCCGCGGGCGCCTGCACCTCCACGAAGTAGTACGGCTCCATCAGACGGGGGGTGGCCTGCGGCGGGCGGGCGGCTCAGGCGGAGCAGAACCCCCAGGTGCCCAGGTCCGAGAGCTTCACCCCCCAGCTGACACCCCTAGGCCGGCCGCCCCTTACCATGAGGAAGGCAGAGTAGACCACCCTCCGCGCCGTGGGGATGATCTGGCCCCCGCCCCGGTGCAGAGGCTCCTGGGCCACCACAGCGTCCAGGATCTTAAACTTGACGTTGCGAATCACTGGGAAGAGAAGACAGGACAGCTGCCGGGGACTGGGGGTCTCTCAGCCACAAAACCCACAGGCGGTGGGGACCCAGCCCAGTGCCAGGGCCTGCAGCAGCAGAATGCAGTGAGCTGCACGGTCCTTCTGGAGCCTGCGAAGTCTCCTGGACACAGAACAGGTTCTGAGAATAGCACGTTTGGTCCCGGAAAGTCCCCCATGGGTCCTTGCTTGTTTGCGGTGGTGGGGATGGAGCCTAGAGCCGTCTCAGTGAGCAACATGAGCCTTTTCTACACTTCTGATGAGATCTCACAAGGTCACCAAGTTGCCAAGCTGGGTTTAAACCTGTGATCCTCCTGCCCCAGCCTCCCAGAGTGTCAGGGTGCCAGTGTGTGCCAGAACTCCTGGCTCTTCCTCCTATGGACAGTGCTGAGACACACCCAGGACGGACCCTCTGAGGAATGAGGCCAAGTGCTTGGGTAGAGATGACTCGTTTCTAGGATGAACTGAACATCAGCCCCAGGACAGTGGGAGGGGGAGAGGGAGAGGCTGGCTGGGGACTTGGGTGGCCCGGCGGCCCATGAGCCTCTGGGGTGGGGGCACTTACACTCGTCGCAGAGGGGCCCCTCCCTGGTCCCCCACTGGAAGCCCTGCACAATGCTGTCTTTCACGGAGCCGAGGAGGGCCTTGTCCACCTGCAGAGAGACGCGGGCTGCTCAGAGGCCCCATGCGCCTGTAGGCCTGGGGTGCATGCAGCACGAGGGAGAGACCTCTAGGAGGAAGGATACATCATCTGCACCCAGGGGCTGAGTGCGGCCGCATAGCTCCCGTCAGCTCTGCGTACCTCTGAGGGCAGGGTGTCGTCCACTAGGATGTTGGGCCCAGTGGCATCTGGACCAAAGGCCCAGATGGAGCGGGCGGCCAGCAGATCCCAGTCGTACTTGGTCTGGAAGAACTCGCCCAGCTTCTTCCTGGCCAGGAGGGGAGGGAAGCTGGGTGCCAGGCAGCTCTGCCCTGCTGGCTCTGACACGATTTGCCCGAGCCAAGTGCGGCGACGGCGCCCGTGGGCACAGCGCAGGCTCACCTGTTCCACGTGATCTGCACCACCTCGTTCTCGATGTCCTCAGCCAGCCCCTTCTCCAGAGGCTCGGCTATCATGGTGATCTTGTTCCTGGAAGAAAGGATGAGGGTGTGGGCATGGCCTCAGGATGGCAGAGCTCTCCCGGGACGGTAACGGGGGGCATGGGAGAGGCCTCCCCAGGGTGAGGCCATGGTGGCAGAGCTGAAGGAGCACCCATCTCTCATTTCAGGCTTTTTTTTTCTTGCCCTATAATTCAGGTTGGCCTTGAACTTACTATGTAGCCCAGGTTGACCTCAAATTTGGGGCAATCCTCCTGCCTCAGCCTCTCGAGTGCTGGGATTAGAAGTGTGACCCACCCTGCCTGGCCAGGCTTCTGCTTTTAGAAAGGCCAAGCTAGGGTGCAGCTCAGTGGCAGAGCACATGGCTGGCATGTGTGCGCCCCATACCACAAACACTAGGGTGTGCGGTAAGGTTGCAGGGTAGTCACATGGCAGAGAACCAGGATCGTGAAGCTCTCTGGGTCCCCAGGGGGTGGTACACAGTGCTGTGTTCCAAGGACCGGGACAAACAACGGGGTAAAAGCAGAGGTCCACCCCGCTGACTGCAGCCTCTGCCTCCTCAGCCTGCCACCCCAGGGCCTCTGCGATCCCAGTTCCCTCCTGTCTGCAGTACTGGGGCCGAACCCAGGTCTTGCACTGGGCCACGCATGCCCAGACTTTCTTAATTCCGAAAAAGGTCTTGCAGAATCACCACTTAGGCAGGGATGGGACTTCTGTCCCGGCCGCCTTCACCCCCAGGCCTGGCCGCCAGCTCACTTCTTATTGGGTGTCTCAGCAAAACACTTGAGGGAAGACGTCTCCACCACGGTCTCACAGAACGTGACCACTGGGTCAGCCACCTGGAAGGAGACACGTCACGGAGCTCAGGCCTGATCTGCGGGAAGCCAGAGCTCCAGCACCTGAGAGGACCGGGACCCAGGCCTCAGCCAGAGGGGCTGTGATCCGGGGAGGGGCCGGGGGCGTGTGGGGTTCCTTCTTGTCTCCCCCAAAGTGTGTGTGCTGCCGCCCGGGATGCCGTCCCCCTCACAGCAGTGTCTAAGCAGCACATGGAGGCCCAGGGCACGTGACCCGAGAGGCACCAGGGACCCTGCAGCACAGCGCCACACTCCCTCCCCAAGCCCCTCAGAGCCCCAATCACCACGGACTGTGCAGTTCCCTTCCTCGGACAGAAGCAGGAGTAACTAGGGAGCTCCGGACTTCAGAGGTGACCCTGAGGACCACTGCCGGGGGGACCCATCCCGGGCAGCAGCAGGAAGCACTCTCCCCGACCAGCCTGGCCCCTGGTCTCCGAGAGCTGGCAGGCGGCTGCAGCGGGCACCCACCTTGATGTCGATCTCCGAGTACATCTTCCGCAGGTCATGCATCACGCAGTCCAGGTAGAGCTCACCAGTGCCCAGGACCACATGCTCGCCCGACTCCTCCACCTGCAACAGCAGTGCGGCTCATAGTCCTCGCCTGGCCAGCAGACAGCAATGGCACCAGCCATCCCGGACGCCTGTGCACAGGGGACTGGGCCTGCAGTCACCGGCCTCCGCTCCATCTTGGCATTCTGTTTTTGCCGAACCAGGGACTGAACCCAGGGCCTTCACACTGAACGACATCCCTAGCCCTTTTTATTCTGTGACAGGATCTTGCTGAGTGGCAAAGTTGCCCAGGCTGGGCTTGTGATTCTCCTGCCTCAGCCTCCCAGAGCGCTGGGATAACAAGTGTGCACCACCATGCCCAGGCTGTTAGCCATTTAAGGACAACTTCTAATCTCTGTCCACAGACACAAGCCACCCCCGAGACCTGGCAGCTACTCGGGCAGAGGGGCTGGCAGGCTTGAGAGTGCGTGCAGGATCGCAACAACGTGCTTTTCTGGGACACTAACAGGAAGTTGCTCCCCGAGGGTGTGGAGAAGCCGGGGAAACTGACACACGGGTTTGCCTAGG